TAATCAAATTCCAAAATTTTTGGAAAAAGATTAGAGGGAATCCATCATGACTAGGGACCTTATCACCCAGTAATGCAAATACCACAATTTTAAGTTTTTCCATACTATTGTCCCTATCCAACATAGTAGACCGATTGGAAGGAAACACTTTGAAACCTACCCCACTTAGATTAGGCAAAACATTAACTTCTTAGGAGAATGCTTTTTGGAAGTGACTAATAATAGCTTGGGACATACCTACATGTCGTCATGCTCCACACCCTGAATAGTAAGACCAGAAACATCATTCTTGCGTTGCCTGGCATTAGCAGTAGCATGAAAGAATTTGGTGTTCAAATCACCTTCTTTTATCCATTTGACCCTAGATTTTTTTTTCCAATACACCTCTTCCACTTTTCTGAGATTCTGAAGCTCATTAACTTTTACACTTATAGCCAAAGCCATTTCCTCATACCACATTTCAGTCTGTTGCATGGTGTCATCAATCTCCTCTATGCACCTCAGCACTTCATCAATCTTTCTTTTAACAGAGAATCCCTTATCTTTTTTCCTAACCAGGAGCTTATGCTTAATATTCCATAGCTTTTTATGTAATTGAAAATTTAAAGAGCCAAGGGAAATCAAATTAACCCATGTACTTCTAATAATCTCAATAACTTCATTTTCCTGCAGCCAGCCAATCTTTAGCCTAAAAGGTTTAAGACCCCCCAACCAAACTTTAGAAGACAACAGCAAAGGGGTATCGTCAGAAGAGAGTCTAGGGAGAGCTTTGACAGAAGCCAAGGGAAACAAATCAGTCCACTTCCCAGAAACCAAGAGTATGTCTTAAACATAGACAAATTTAAGACACTACCATTAGTCCAAGTAAAAGTCGTATCAGAAATTGGAAGATCAAGCAAAGCATGGCTCTCAATAAATTGATTAAATAGTCGCATAGATGCATTGATCACCCCACCATTAGAACTCACTTCAGACCATCTAATAAAGTTAAAATCATAACATCATTCATATCAGAAATGAAAGAAACTTTTTGATCGAAAGAATGGGGACCATAAACATTTAGCAGACCCCACTGAAAGTTAGCCTCAGAGGCCCCAACAGAATCCAGCCCCACGAAATCTAAAGCTCCAGGACCCCACACTTCTTGAGCCCCAGATAAATTAGGACTGGGAAGTTTGGTCTCCTGAAGGATAAGCACAGTGGGTCTATATTTGCAAACCAAAAAAAAAACATCTCTCTTACGTTTGAGGTCACCTAGACCTCTGAATTTTCAAGATAGAACTAGCATTAAAAAGGTTTAGAGAGGGAGGAACTAGACCCATCACCGCTGAAGTCAAACGACCTCACTGTCTCCATCTCCACTTCCATAGCCTCATCGTCTAAAGTCTCCATGTCCACAACCTCATCGAAAGCAGAGTCCAATAATGACAGAGAGGAAGAGTTAAGTTCAATGACATGTGCTTCACGAATAACAATACCTGGTGGTCAAATTCCCTGAGCCATCAGTCGAGCCGACGATCTGGTGCCTTTCATCAGGCTCTTTCCTTTCTTCTTTTTCTTGGTCGCATCCTTCGAGGGAGATATCTAACCACCAAGAGCGACATTCTTGCCTGCCTTGTCGACGGACCCCTGCCCAGCACCAGAAGCATTGCTCTCAGCATACTCAGCTCTAAGTTTATCCATTATATCCTTGAAAACAACTCCAATGGGAAAATTAAAGTCCATCCCATTGTCATGAACAATAGCAGCCACCTTAACTCTAGAAGGATGCCCCTGATCAGTAGAAGGAGAAACGGACACTGCAAGAACAAGGTCCGAGATCTCAGCTGGCACTGCTAACAAGTAGTGAAGTAAAGGTCGCTCATTAAATGGGATCACGTTCAGAGGCGCAATAGTATCCGCAACAACCACAGCATTCCCAGGTTCCACCATTCCTGCATCAGCATCCTCCACAGCGATTTTTGGTTCCACCAAGCCTCCATTGACTTCTAGAATAAGCATTGGGGGGAAACTCCACAACATCCTCATCCATCATAGCAATAAGGATAGCCTCTTCATCCACCACAACCAGAGCCGAAGGATTGATTATGAGCGGATCAAAAGATGGCCTGACGGAGGGGCTCTTCTTCCTGGCAGCCCGACAATGCCAAAGAGGATACATAATGCTAAGCACCGCAAGAACAAACTGCAGAGCCACCGACGAACGTAGACGATGACCAGCTAGGGAAAGAGCAGCAGCCACCAACTTCGCCCTAAAGAAATGGCTATACCCTGCTGAAAGAAGACTCTTCAGAAGAATGGGAAAGAAGGCTCCCTCCTTCACGCATGCTTGCACAGGGAAAGAGCAGGCGTCCACATGGCTACCTGCAGTCATCTCAAACGTTTCAAATTGAGATATAAATCCCTGGTGCAGGGATTCACCACCCACCTTTTCAACTACCTTAATATCAAAATTATGGTCTAACTTAGGTGGACGCGCGGTCAATGAAATCAGCTTTGAACCATCAACGTTATCCAAAACATTCGCCGACGAAGTCACCTGAGAATTTGCAAAATGTCCCACAGAAATCCACTGTTTACGAATTTTTAAATTTTGAAATTCCCTCATCCATGTCCTAGGAATCCGACAGTTATTCAATGGCCGGGAAACACCGCCTGGAATAGGCTTCGCAGGTACATGAGGACATCGACGAAAACAACTTTCTGCCATCCCATCTCCGCCTCTGGCTACTTTGGGTCATTTCTTTGAATAATAGAAGATCCACTACCCTTTTCTTTCAATTCACACGTGACTGAAATAAAAAAAGACTCCTGGCCCACTTGAAGCCTGACAAACTTGGGAATGGGAATACCACACAATTTCCAAATACAGATACGGACAAAGCACAAGTCAACACCATCAAAAACAGCTTTATCAATATCGCAAAACTCACCACATTTATTTGCCAACTTTTTAAACGTCAGCAAGGACCAAGCGTGAAAGGGAATACCAGATAACCGGATCTAGAGACTTTCCTTCCGCAAATAAGAAAGATGGGATGCAAGTTTCCAAAGCTCAAGAGACAGAAGTCTTCCTCTAATACAAACAAAACAATTGTGCAAAGCCGCAACAACATATTCTTTCGAGCACAAGAAAAAGACGATCTTCTTATCTACCATGATCTTAACCTTAGGAGCATAGGACAACCCCCAGCTTCTTCTAGGCCGATCAGAAAGGCCAAAGATGTCAGTAGAGGGTGGAGAGAAAGAACCTACCACGGGAAAGTTCACCCCCGACAATAGACCACCACTAGGGTTGAATCTAAAAGAAACCACAGGACCACGACCTTCATCAGAAACCTCACCGCCATCTTCATTCTCTACCGCTCCCTTCATCAGAAACCTACCCTACTGTAATGTTTCTTTCATAAAAGAGGAAAATATCAACCGTGAAAGTTTGGGTACTTTGACATCCTATCAGCTTCCTAGTTTAGGAAAATGCTGTGAAAAATTATACTAATGAGTATGTACAACTATATTTTGACCTAAGGTGTACTCTAAAAATGAGCTGTGAATGATGTAGTTCTTTGATTTTTTCTCTTGAATTGTTTGATATTTATAAAACTTTGAAATTTTAGAAATATTACAATATAACATAAATTTTTGATGGCATGCTTGCTTTTTGATGAGCATTGTTCTCATTGAAATAAGTTTAAAGAGCTCTCTGAAGAAGGAGACTTGATAATGTCATGTTTTGGAATAAGTAGTCACTAGACCTGTATCCCTTTTTCTTTTTTCTTTTTTTGCTAAAAAAAGTTTCATTTATAAGAACTGATATGAAAGTGTCTGGTCTCTCTTACCTTCCTTTGAATGAAACTTGTGTGTGGGCTTTTTTGTTTTCTTTATGACGTGTGGGCTTCTTTTTTTCTTTATGGATTTGAGGCTATATGCAACCAGACTATCAGCAAATTTCAAAATATATTCACCACTAAATCGGATTTTGACACTCCTTATCTAGCTAATCTATCATCTTTCTCATCAGTCTCTCCCCATACCTAGCTGAATTTCATCCCAAGCTTTCCAAAACGATACCATATTTCTTCAAAAACATTATGTACGTGTCATGGCTATCTATACCATTGCTCGAATCTCCCTCGATGTTCATCTTATCCAGTCCAGTTTCCACACATCTGAACTCACAAAACAAGGACATAGCTTCCGCCTCATGTGAGCCACAAAACCGAAGAGGCCCTGAGTAGGGCATCAAGACCCCTAATGATCCCTCACTAAGCCACCTATCCCAGCTCTTGGATTCCCTCTCAAACTATCCTTGAATTTCAACTTGACCGTTCTATTCTTCTTTTTTTTGTTCGTCCTTCATGGTACATTTGGTTTGTGGGAAATCTCTATCCAAGAGAGAGATTCCCCACTAGATGCGAAATTGGCTTTTTAACTTGTAGACACTGACATCTGCCTAGGGCACACATCCCTTAGTGCTATAAGCTTCATTGTCTCCTCGAGTAGTAACAGTGTTTAGAAACTCGGAGAGTCCGCTTGGACTCGCCCAGTTAGTCCAGCATGGCAGAGTGCTAACGAGTGAAACCCCGAAAAACTCAAGGAATATAGACGAGAGTTCTATTCCTTTTGTAATTCTTGCCTTTTGTGATATATGGACCTATCATAAACAATCTAAACGGGCAAAACAGAGCCTGGCAGCAAGGGGCCAGTATTTTGCCATGCTGACATTGTGAAGGTGGCCTCTCTCCATTTGTTGGGGGGTAGATGTCACACGAATTATCATCTCGTCATTTTTGTCCATCGATTCACCTGGCAGATAGCCTTCCATGTTTCATATTCTAGTCCTCTCTCTGTGTGATTAGACCCATTCATGGTAATGTAACAAAACTGAAGGGAACAGTAAAATCATCATTAAAAACAAACCAAACACAAACACAATTCGAAAAAACCTAATCTTTATTCTCCACACCGAAGCATTAAAATCTCAATATGGCAAATTGGCGAAGTCATAATCTAAGGTTCCAATGGCATTAACTACATCATCTGGTACATTTAGATACATCTGAAACATTTTCCCAAATAAAGCCCCAAAGATTTTCATACACCTTTCCGTCCATATGTTACTGATGCCCGGGGCAGAAAATCTGAGGTTCAAAAATCACAAAACCTAAAACCAAAAATATTTCAGATACAGCAAGAACCCTAACAGGAATGCTTAGTCAAAAACTCGCATTGCAACCAATAACTCCAAAAAAATCAATTCACAATAATAAAAATTTCCCCAAGATGGCAACACTAGAATAGCTAAGAAAGAATAAAAGACTCGTCTAACTTCAAAATATATAATAAGCTATAGGAAAAGAAACACATATTGGCTAGATAACGACAGGAACAAAAGATTTTTTTTTTCTTTTTTGGGTAGATCAGTGCCATTTCAAGCCCCTGAGCAAAAAGAGTTTATGAAAAGCGAAAAAAACAGCCATGAGCAAGTGAGAGAGAGAGAGAGAGAGAGAGAGAGCGAGAGAGAGAAATGAGAGAAGAAACCTTTTTAATAGGCAAAAAGAAAAGACTGGCGTACAAGTGTCTCAAACATCCAAGGAAGAGTTCGGCAGCATTAGCTCTCAAGCCCGGCATGACGAAAGCTCTTAGGCAACTACTGCAAATGTTTTTCTGAGAAACAAGCCTTTTCTTTTATCATCCTCGACACGCAAAACCAATGAACCATCATAAACAAATATCACTCTTCACAGGAAGATCTGATCAAGCCCATGAAAAAGGAAATAACTAGAAAATCATCAAATTGATATACAAAACTAGAACAAAGAGCTGAAGAAATCATACGAATAAAACCTGACAAAAAAAACACACTTGAAATGTGTATCTCAATAGATAATACAACATATCTTGAAACAGAGAAATTTAAATCAGATGCAATGAAAAATCTTTAGAGAACAGAGAGTGAAGAGAGAACCTCTTGCTTAACGAGGAAACAAAATCCCAGAACAATCTCTGAAGACAAACCCTAAGAATCAGGACTAAAAGGAACATTGAAAGCACAGCAACGAACAACATAAGAATAATTAACTGTGATGCCTGGCTATTGGCATAGAGGCCCTTATATAGAGTAGTTTCATTGCTAAACCCTACCAGGTTCTAGATTCTGGGTCTCTTCACCAGAGCCTTGCACCATCCATTTCTACAAGTCTAGTAATGAATGGCTCAAATTTAGTTAACAAATGGTATAGGCTATTTGCAGAATACAATTTCAGTCCATGCTGATAGTGACCACGGCCTGGTCCAAAACAAAAATGGGCCAATAAGGCCTGGCCCAGGCTCGGCCTGCAGGTTAAGCGAACCCTGCACAAAAGCCTGCAGGCCAGTCAAGCAGTTCGGTAGCTCTTACTGTACTGACAAGTAGCACATCCAACAATAATTAAGGAATCAGACAGCGGTGACAGACCATTATAGTTTATATGACAAACCAGACCAAGACAAGATCATTCATTCATGCATCTTGCTTGTTAGTTGTCAGAACAAAAGATGTATCAGAGCTGTGTATATGCATCTTAACAGCCCATCTTAAGATTGATTAACCCCCCACAAAGACCAAACACAAGGATATGTAAAATCAGCAAGATAACAACATGATAAACAACAATTATCATGTGCAAACAATATTGCACACCCAACGACTGGAGAAGAGAGCTCCATATTTCACCAAATTCTACCACCGAAACAAACCAGTTGAGAGAAGTCAAGGTTCCAACTTTGAAGCCATACTCATGTAAGTTGGGCTGTGCAAAAGAACGACTGGCATCAGTGAATGGCTCATAAATTAGGCAACAAGGAAAACAACTTAATCTTCATGAAGTTCTACAAGTGTAGCCCAAAATGCCAAACTTCAAAGAGGAATAAAGATTACAAATGAAAACAGCCCCAAATCCAAGACACTTAATTTTACAAAAAAATTATGAATGAAGATCACAAAACAATAGATTAAATGACCATCCAAGATTTAAAATTTGTCACACGTGAAAATGGCCTCAATCATCGAAAAGACTCAATTTTACAAAAATCTATAAAATAACAAAAACAATAGACAAAAGATCATCCAAGATTTAGACTTTTCTTACATATCATGTATTTTTCATAAAGGGCTAAACCAGGGGAGCACATAGTAACTGTCACCATAAAAACGAGGGGAGCACGTAGTGACTGTCAACCTAAAACCCCTAATCAATACTTGAGATGGAAAAGCACTCAGGCATTAAGACAATTATTAAGGTTATTTCAATAAAAACAGAACATTTTGTAATGGAGCAGAACAAACACCTTCACACTACGAGCACAAAAGTAACCCCATACACAAAAATGAAAAGCAAGATTTATTCGTCGCCACAGACCATCCTAGTAAAATCCAGTTCAACGTGAAAAAGAGAATTGAACTTGTATGCAGCCATTGAATTTAACATTGGCCTGCATGGTAAATGTAATTTACAAAAACAGGTTCTACAAGGATCTGAAGCCTTGGCCAATGCATTTGACATTCACCTGCATGATATATAACAAGGTTTTGCAACAACACACATAATCCAGATATGATATGGCTTTGATTAGAAATGCAACTTAAAGACATCATAATTAGGACAGTATAATCTTAGTCTTCCGTATGCATACGATCAGCAGCAAATAGCAGAATAGCCCATACATCTTCAACAAAAAGAAATACAATTCAATTAGCAGAGACTACCATAGGCATAATGCAATTACTATAAAAATTTAAAGAGAATAACATAACCAAATCCATAAACGAATATAGCTCCATATCCCAAAAGAACATGATCACAGAGTTTATGAATCACACAAGTAGACGATGAGGGTGCCAAAAACATTTGAACGCATACAAAGTCAAAGCAAACAATTGTCATGAAGACCAAAAAAGTGAAAGAAACACATTGCAAGAGCAAACAGACAGACCAATTAATGACAAAAAGGGCTACAAAGAATAGGCACTCAGGCCTTTGCACTAAGTTGAGGTTATTCATTGGACAGTCCAATGAATATCTTTTAACCTGGTGTAGTAAACACAACCATACCAGAATCACATTAATGGAATTATAAAAAAAAAATGAAAAGCAAGAGCTCAAAATGACTGCAAGGCCTCAGACAGTCCTAGTAAAATGCACTTCAACATGGCAAAGAAAAGTATTCTTATTCAGCCACTAAGCTTGACATCATTGGCCTGCAGAGCACAACATACTAAACACGACAAAATCAAAGGCCGCCACAATTGCAATAGTGCACCTTCCCATCAAACAAATTCCTGAAAGACCCCATAACAGTCACCAACTTCAAACCAAGTGTACACAACTTCAAAAACAGAAAACAAAAAAAAGGATAAAGCAGCAAGCATATCCATACCTGAAATAGCCTCAAAAGTGGAAATCAACCTCAAAGGCAGAATAATTAGAATTTGTTGCAAAACCAAGAGATGAGTGACAGGATAAACAGGACTAACTACTTAATTTTAAGGGCATCCAGTGCCTATAGTGCTGGTATAACCTCCACTGTAGTAAATTAAAATGAAAACAACACAAAACAACTAATAAAGTCCCCAAAGAGAATTTTCTCCAAAAATAGAAACTAATTGTAGAGGACACCTATAGTAGCAGAAAAACCCATGGGAAATACAAAAGGTAAGAGTCAGCATTTGTGATAATGTGAGCATCAAAATCCAATAAGACAATGCATACAGACAAGAACCCAAGTATCAAAGACAAGAAAGCAAAAGTTTGGAAAAATAAGTTTGACAGCAGGTAGCTCAAAAGACACAAACTCTTACAAGTTTCAATTATCAGCTTCACATTTATGAGATTCAATTTCCAATGTTGGCATTTCATTAACTTTAAGATCACAAATGAGCAAATGTCAATCAGCGTAATTAAACAAAAAAAACAAACTCCCTAAAAGAATCTAAATAAAGAACCTATGGATGAAAAAGAAAATATTTTTTGACAATAAAAAAACAAATAAATACTTGTTAGATCACGAAGACCTGTAGATTGTGCTGAAAAGAGAAAACAAAAGGCATCAAATCAGAACAATACCATATGTAGCACAGAAACAAAGCCCAAAACAATCTACCAACATTAACATTCCATGAAGAATGACAGGTAGTTGGATTGCAATAACAGAAATTAGTAATGACGTTCACAATAGGAGGTGGCATAGTTTCAAAAAGCAGACTGCCCAGCGCCTGGGCAGCCGCCTAGGAGGATACCCCTGGGCGCCCACCTGAATCTGCCTAGGCAGCCGCCAGGGCATGCACCCCACCCAGGGGCGAAAATGCAGCTCCTTGAGAATATTTTTGGGTCATTTTTTAAATACTAAAGGGCCAAAATTATGGGTTCTAGGTTAATTTGAAACCTAAAACCCATTAGAGCTTATTTTAGCGAGAAAACCCAAAAAAAAAAAAAAAAATTATACTAGGCTGCCCAGGTTCTGGGCACCGGCCTAGGCGCTGGGTAGCCTGAACCCCCCCGACCGCCTAGGTGCCTAGCGCTTTTTGAAACACTGGGAGGTTGAGATAAATTTAAATGGAAATGGCACAATTCAACATTTTTTAAGCAAAAATTTTCATAAAAGCTAAGGTTAATACCTAATAAAATCTGCCAAGGCAAATAAAAATCATAAAAATGAAAGAACCATATGTAACTTCCAATGCATAAAAAGGAAAAACATAAGTATGCCAGCTTTTGAAGCAATAATATCCAATGCAAACATGAGATTTACAACACCATGTGTCAGATTTGAAAAGATCAGCATTTAAGCATCAGACAGGGATAACTGTTCTCTTCATGTTCTCATCATCCATATAGCTTAGGGGGGAAGACCTCCATATTCGAAAATGAATTAAGAGAAAAAAATGATTGAACCATAAAAGAAAAAATTATCGAGACTAAAATTTAAGGAGAAACATAGTCCTTTAAAGAAATAATTTACAAGAAATATGTTGTAAAGAAATAATTTACAAAAGGAAGTTCACCAAGATGGATGGACATAGAGGTACACAAAATATGCCAAACATTCAAAGATGAAAGTAAAAACTCAGGCCCCGTCGAGTCAATCCCCCAGAAATCACTGGCCTCAACAAGGGCCCTCGACTAAGAAGTTAAAGTAGTTTGATTAGCTGAAGGTGATCAACTTTTCAGAAAAAATCACCAAATTGATTTGACTTGAGATAAATAGCACCATGTGTCAGATTTGAAAAGATCAGCATTCAAAAATCAGACAGGGATAACTGCTCTCTTCATCTTCTCATCATCCACAACACCTATGGGAGGTGAATTACACCTTTGAAAATGATCTGTGCACACGAGCCAGATGAAACATATTGAATAGAATGAAATCCAGTATAAAAAACAGCACCAAGAAAAGAACACACAAGAAAGTTCACCAAATCAATATAAACCAATACACAGACGATCCATACTTGAAATTAATTATTGAAGAATGAAATGTTCCCACATAAAACAGCGTATCAAATGTAAGGTCCTATGTTGTGGACACAAGTACTTGTGTAAGCATCAGACATGGGCACGAGGTATCAGATTCCTCATGTCAAGAAGCACAAGATTCAGGGACACAGCCATATTTATATTTTAAAGAGACGACAAAATCTAACACTTATTGCTATTCCATTTCATAATATGTAGCCAAATAAATCACCTATGACTTATTAGCTGGCTGAATTTTTTAGGATTTTTGAACTACACATTTCTATCCAATAAGAAGAAGATCAAAGTCTATATCAACGATGCAATCAAATGTAGTGATTGGGATAAAAGAATCCAGAAGAAACTGTATTGCCGTGTGTTGATACATGCCTGACACAGGTATGGCACCCAAACCAAAGAATCCATGCAACATACATCAAACCCGACCAACTCCTCCAACATCAACTCAGCTCAACAAGCAAGTCCAGTAAGTCAAAAAGGATTTGACTTGCTGAATTTCTATCCAAAATTTTCAAACACTGTAAACCCAAAATCTGACCCTCTTAAATAAATCAGTTGTTACATCCACGCATGTGCCAGAGGAACCATTCAAAACAAAAAAATCAATTGGTGATCAGTTCAAATCAAATTCGGCCAACTCAGGTGAGATGATATGTTATGAACAGAATCAAATCAAACAAGGTCTACCTGAAATGAGACAGATCACAAATTTCAAATCTAAATAAAATAAATGGATTACCACATTTTAGATTACTGCAATGTGCTTCAGTTTCAAAATGGGCCCTCGCTCAAAGAATCAGATAGGGATAATTCTAATATTTATGTTCTCTACACCTGCAATGCTCACATGTAAAAAGAGCCATATCTGCAAAGCAGGTCTGAACAATCAAAACTGCAAGAGAAGTAAGATTATTGCAAGGGAAAGGTAATTCATACTGCATGTGACGGTCAGTTTAGGTATTAAATGTAGGTCTCCACCATCCATTCTCAAAGACCAACAGCGGAGCTGATACATTCCTCCACCATTGTTCTCTTGAGCAAATGGAGGTTCATCACAACCAGCCGTTATTGAAAACAGGGAGTGGAGACAACATGTAGTATGCAAACAGTATACAGCATGTAGTGTGGCATAGGAGTCCCATAATCACCTGAGAAGACATGGATTTCAATGTTAACAAAAGAAGAATCAAAGACATAAAATCATTAGGGAACTTTGAGTAAAGAAAAGGGGATACCAAATTAGCAACAGTGAAGTCCACAAAATGTGACATCAATTTAAACCAGTTAAAACAAATAGAACAAAGTAGATACCAAAACAAGGAATCGAGACAGGAAAGTGGAGTAAAATAAAGTAACAATATATGCAAAGCATCAGATCTTCCTAGTCAATCAATTGAACAACATGACATCCAGAGATGTGCTCTATTCAATGAAGTTCATCATTTACCTTTTTTTTAAACTAAAGAATCATTGAAGTTTATCTATTCAATGAAGTTCTAGAGAAGGACACATTAATGTCCCATAGCATATTTCAAGGAAGATTTGGAAACGATCAGCAAAGAATGATAGACTAGAAAAGCACAAATGAAATTACTACAAAAACCGTTATGAATTCTCAAGCAAATTGCCACATTTAAAATCAAGAATAGTGCGGTGGGAGGAGCACAAACCTACAGTTTGATGAACAAAAAAGATAATGCACATAGGAACTAGAATGAGTCGTACATGAGAAGACAAAAAACACAACAGAGATGAACAAAATACAACATGGAGATAAATTTTGCCATCATGAAGAACCAATGTGGAGTAAGTTGCGCATTAGATTTTCCTATTGAGTTGACCCTCATAGTGTCAATAGTCTACTCAGACATATGCTTATCAATTATATTCATCATTTGCCCCATTAAACTCAAACCAATGCACATAAGACCATGAAAAAAATCCAAAAGAGACCATGCACCAGTAGGGCTGCCAATGGGCCGAGTCGGGGCCAGGTCCGGTCCAAGGCCCGGAAAGCCTGAGAATATTTCAGACCGGCCAGAAATAGGCCCGATAAGCCCCGCCCCGTTAAAAGGCTGGAATTTCATGCATAAACCAGGCCCGCCTGCTAATGCCCGGTAAGGCCTTGAAATGCAAACAAAGCGCCAGCATAGACCGGAAAAGGCCCTATTGAGCCTCGCCCGGCCCAATTATTACTATAATTTTTTTTTCTCAACTTTCTCTTCAGACTTTTCAATTGAAAATTCGAAGGGAAAAAAAATTGCTAATTAACTTTTAGAAATTTAAAACCCCTTTAACTAAAAAAAATACGAGAACTACACATTCAAAATACCCACAAAGTGAGAGAGAGAAACAAAGAGACACAAACAATTGTCCAGATAGATCAAACAACACCATCAAACGCACTGAAGCAAATCATACAGATTTATTCTGAATGTTTACATAAAACCTCCTTATACATCAAAGAGGGTAAAAAACAACAAAATAAGAGAGAGAGAGAAAGAGAGAGAACTCTAACTATGCAAAATCTCTTTGCCCAAGCTCTTTCACACACCATAGTTGATGTCAATATCTAAACGTCCTCCAATGCATTGATGATTATTTACCCTGAATTTCATGTATTGAAGAAATTTAGGCAGATCTATATGCTTAAAAAATAAATAGAATACACAGGAGCTTTGTTTACTAAATCTGTGTGATACTGGTGCAATAAAAATAAATTGCAAATGCATATAACCATAAAACATTTTCCTTCTACAAATCTTTCCTTAATCTCTTTCTTCTCAGTCACTTAAAGTTTTCTTGGCTTACTATTGCTTCAAAATTACATCCAAGCAGTACCACCTAATCATTCAACAGTTTCATCAAACCAGCCCCAACCATCAGAGGGGCAGCCCATTCCAAGCAATAGGCTCAGACAATGAATAAAACCTGTACAACAGGTACATCAAGTAACGTATTGACAAGAGCTTAAAGGACATAATGATCCCCATGCATTAGCTGAAATAAGATAATTGAAGCAATCATATGGAAAGGAAAATGTTTCCATCATGTGCAAGATAGGATACCCAGTGTAGTAATTCTTTGGAAGGTAAACATCCTTCACAGGGCCAAAGCGCTCAAAGGGGATCCTAAGATCTTCAGGCCTGCAAAATGAAAGAAATGAGCACAAAGAACCATAAATATATTGACAAGAATAATTTGAAAAATAGTGATCCAACTAATGCTACTATTTTCTTTGTTCTATTTATTGATCATTGGAGGCCTAAGGCATTTATTAATCATTGTAGGCCTAAGGCCATTTTTGCTAACCACTGCCAACAATCTCTGTTTTAGCTGTGGGGACAAACAGCATATTGAAAAAACCCACTCAAGGCTTCAATATGCAGCATACATCTATGTATTTGATTCAGGGTATGTTTGGATATGTGAATATATGCATAAAAAAGCATCCATTACATATATTGATAAAAAACATGTTTTGGTACTGATTTCGAGAGCAGAATTTTTGTACCTAATACAATACAATCAACTTCCTAAAAAAGAAAAAAAGATAAAAGCACGTGTTTGGATGTGTGAACATGCTACTGTGTATGCACATGCATGTGTTCAGTGTTTCAAAACCAGGAACAGTGGGGTGGATTGTTCACCCCGATCTATGTTGGCTCAATGCAACAGTTTGGTACTCATGGATGGTGATACTGTTTGGGACTCATGGCCAATAATGCATTCACATACAAAAAGTGGCATTGAAGAGACTTAATAAATCATAAAACACGCAAAAATGATGGCCCAAGAGAATAATGCTTCCCTCAAGTTCAAGTCCCAAACCAAGATAAAACAAACCATGAAACTGAACCCACTCAAAACAACAAAAAGCCATGGATAATAAAGATGTCATTCTCTTCACAAAACCAAAGACTCCACTCTCTCTGTAATTACATTGCAGACATTTCCACGGATGAAATCACTTGCATATTGCTCCTTGTTCATCTCTGTAGAGGTATCAGGACACTGAATCATCAGCTTTCCAAGAGTGAAAAGTGGTCTCTCTTAAAATGGCTTCAACGATATATTAAAAATGGCTATGGGTCTCATAGAAACTGCACCTAAAAAGTCTATAATGTTGGGAAAGAGAACTCAGATCATAACTCAAGCATGACTCAAGTATATAACCTCCGCAACACTTAACTCATGCTTTTTGCAGATCTAAAGTGAAGTTCAAAAGCTCTAATGCGGCATTAAGGATACTCATGGGGAAGATAATCCTGGCCTTGCGTATTTCCAAGTTGTTATGCTTGTTATTACTATTACTGTTGCCATAGAAATTGATAGAATTCGTGGTAAAAGTGTGGTGGGTTCCTCTTAGAATAACCAGATGCATGGAGAAGTAGGGAATTAGAGGACCCCCATACAAATTTCCCCATGGAAACAACAGGGAAGTGGAACAGATGCTGAGGGAAGCAATTGCAAAATCAATGGATCTCTCACATGACACCAAAAGCCTTCATACAATTCTATACACAAGACAGAGCTACGCTCTCTAAATTTTCAGGAAGAGATGCTTCTAAGGCATGAATTCAAGGAAGAAAGCTTTAGAAAAACAGAGAGCTGAAATCTCCACTAAAAATTCTCATGAATCAGAGGCTTTTCAGTAACCCCCAAATGAAAGAAATCGAGAACAGGCCTAGGCAAGAAATCAGCTGCTAAAAAACACCTCCTTTCTGCAAACCCATAGGATTTCCACGCCTAAACGCAAGGTCAAGCCTAAGACATTGGAGGATTTTGTGCTTATACGAGAAGGTTTGACAAGAGGCATTTATGTAATTGTTTACAAACTGGGTGAATTACAAGGAAAAGTTACGAAAGATAACTAGAAGCTTTGTTACATTAGTGAATTACAAGCAAAAAGTTGCCACAATAGACAGTTAACACAGTAAAGCTCTGTGTATTACAAACTGTGCATTCACGATCGACAGTTAACACAATTGACAGTTAACACAGTAAAGCAATTAACAATGTGTTAACTTCATCAAAGTAAAAGTTACTTCATCAAACCAATTAACACTGTGTTAACACACACAATTGACAGTTACCAAAGTGAAGCACACACAATTAACAGTGCGTTAACACATTGTTAACACAATTGACAGTTAACACAGTTAAGCACACACAATTAACAGTAAGGGAATAAAACAGTGCATTACAAACTGTGAAATTAGGGAATAAAATCCAATTCCACAGTCTTACAAACTGTTAAGCACACAGTTACAAACTGTGCATTACAAACTGTTAAGCACACAATAATACACAGTTAAGCACACAGTTCATAAAACAATACACAGACGCAGTAAACACACAGTTAAGCTTCTGAGCCTGAATTCTTCAAAGTTCAAACCCAATTCATCAAAACTAACAAATATAGTTAACAAAACCAAACAAACCTGGACAACTATACAAATAAAGAAAAAGCAAGAATTATACCAAAAATAGACATTGGCACGATCTCAAAAGAATGGGAAGACTAAAGAATGACATGAATAGAGAAAAGTAAGAATCATACCAGAATACTCACACCAAAAGCAATCATCCCTCTATCTCCTGGTCAATTCAAGATGAACTCTTGATGGCTGCACAAATATTAACCGATAATTACCACAACTAAAATGCATCAAAAATATATAAATAAGACCAGTACTTAAAGATGGCACATGTGCTAAAGGCTGACTCTGAAGGGACAGTGTACAACGTAATTGCCAGAATATCTCGAGCCAATTTAGAGAAAATAGGATACTTCGATGCATTAAGTTTCCACCAACATAAGATGTCAAAGGCCCCATCTTCACCTCGAAGAACCAAATCATCCTCTAAATAATGATCCAAATCTGCTTTTTGGGGATGAGCAACTGAAGTTCAGTTGAGGAATTGGTTTTCTTTTTTTAAAAACTGTCTAAAAGGGTATTTTCATAATAGGTTCGGTTAAGGAATTGGTTGAAGTTTAAATGGAGCCTCTTTGTACCTCTATCAACCAAAGAGCTTGTAATTCCCAATACTACTTGCTTCTTTTTCTATATTACAAGTAGTTGACTGTGTGAAAGCCAGATAAAAGTTGAATAAATTTAAATGGAGATGACACAATTCAATATTTTTAAAGCAAAAATTTTCATAAAAGTTGAGGTTTATACCTTATAAAATTTGCAAAGGCAAATAAAAATCATAAAATGAAAAAATATCATGTAACTTCAAATGCATAAAAAGGAAAAACATGTGCATGCCAGCTTTTGAAGCAATAATATCCAATGCAGACATGAGAGTTACAATACCAGATCAGCATTTAAGCATCAGACAGGGATAACTGTTCTCTTCATGTTATCATCATCCACATAGCTTAAGGGCAGAAGACCTCCATATTCGAAAATGAATTAAGAGAAAAAAAAATGCTTGAACCATACAATAAATAATTATCGAGACTAAACTTTAAGGAGAAACATAGTCCTTTAAAGAAATAATTTACAAGAAATATGATGTAAAGAAATAATTTACAAGAAATAATTTACAAAAGGAAGTTCACCAAGATGGACATAAAGGTACACAAAACATGCCAAACATTCAAAGATGAAAGTAATACCTAAGAACAAATAGGTTGCTACTAGATACAAACAGACAATAGAGACAACATGTGGTATGCAACCAGCTGTTATTGAAAACAGACAGTGGATACAACATGTAGTATACAAACGGTATACAGTATGTAGTGTGGCATAGGAGTCCCATAATCACCTTAGAAGACATGGATTTCCATGCTAACAAAAGAAGAATCAAAGACATAAAATCATTAGGGAACTTTGAGTAAAGAAAAGGGGACACAAATTAGCAACAGTGAAGTCCACCACAAAATGTGACATCAATTTAAACCAGTTAAAACAAATAGAACCAAATACATACCAAAACAAGCAATTGACACATGAAAGTGGAGTAAAATAAAGTAACAATATATGCAAGGCATCAGATATTCCTATTCAATCAATTGAACAACATGACATCCAGAGACTTCCAGATGTGTTCTATTCAATGACGTTCATCATTTACCTTTTTTGTAAACTAAAGGCTCATTGAAGTTCATCTATTCAATGAAGTTCTAGAGAAGGGCACATTAATGTCCCATAGCATATTTCAAGGAAGATTTGAAAATGACCAGCAAATAATGATAGACTAGAAAAAGCACAAATGAAATTACTACGAAAACCGTTATGAATTTTCAAGCAAATTGCCACATTTAAAATCAAGAATAGCGAGGTGGGAGGAGCACAAACCTACAGTTTGATGAACGATGAACAAAAAGACAATGCACATAGGAACTAGAATGAGTCATACATGAGAAGACAAAAAACACAACACAGATGAACAAAATACAACATGGAAATGAATTTTGCCATCATGAAGAAACCAATGTAAAGTAAGTGGGCCATCAGATCTTCATATTGAGTTGAACCTCATAGTGTCAATAGTCTACTCAGACATATGCCTGTCAATTATATTCATCATTTGCCCCATTAAACTCAAACCGATGAACATAAGACCATGAAAAAAAATCCAAAAAAGACCATGCACCAGTAGGGCCACCAATGGTCCGGGTCCAGGCCGGCCAGGCCCGAGGCCGGTAAGCCCGAGAATATTTCGCGCTGGCCGGAAATAGGCCTGATAAGGCCCAGCCTGTCAAAAGCTCAGAATTTCATACTTAAATCAGGCCCACCTGCTAAGGCCCGAAAATGCATACAAAGGGCCAGTCTGGACCGGAAAAGGCCCTGTCAAGCCTATTGGGCCTGGCTCGGCCCAAGTATTACTATAATTTTTTATCAACTTTCTCTTCAGACTTTTCAAATTTGAACTAAGGAAAAAAAATTGTTCATTAATTTTTAGAAAATTTAAAATTCCTTCAAATAAAACATACTAGAATTACACATTCAAAAGGGCAAGCTTTCTATGCTTCCCCTACAGCATAGAAGTTCTATCCTCCCCCTTATTCAACCGTCTATTCTGAATGGAGGGCTAAGATTGCCGCAATCACAATGTCACGTCTCTACACTATTTTATTTTTAATTTTTTTCTCTAAACTATTTTGACACCAAATTTTGCACATCCATTCCTCTATTAAACTCGCACTAGCGGAAATTATACAAAAATATTTTCAATAAAATAAAATGACTAAAATACCCCTGAAATTTTCAAGGGGTATTTTGGTCATTATATTTTATCGAAAATTTATTTTTAATATTTTTTATAGGTGTGCCCCAATGAGAAGATGGCACGTACCAAATTTCATATTCATACAATTTATATAAAAAAACTAGAAATAAAATACTTTGAGACGTCGAATCTAAGATCAAACGGTGAGTGGCTCTCTTGATCAAAATTGGACGGCTGGATGGTAAAGGGAGGATAGAACTTCTATGCTATAGGGGAAGCATAGAAACATTTCCCCATTCAAAATACCCACAAAGAGAGAGAGACTCATGAATAATTGTCCAGATAGATCAAACAGCACCATCAAACACACCAAAGCATATCAAAGAGAGATGTATCTTGAATGATTACATAAAACCTCCTTATACATCAAAAAGGATAAAAAAACAACAAAATAAGAGAAAGAGAGGGAGAGAGCTCTAAGTATGCAAAATCTCTCTGCCCAAGATCTTTCGCACGGCATAGTTGGTGTCAATATCTACACGTCCTCCAATGCCATAGTTAATTATTTACCATGAATTTCATGTATTGAAGAAATTTAGGCAGGTTTGAAATGTGCGCACAACATCTCATGTGAAAGTGATTCCCTCCAAATAAAAGCTTTTCAAAATAAAAAAAAAATTATTTTTTCATAACAACATCATTAGTAGTGCAATTATCCATAGTAATAGCAAACAATTTATCCTTCAAATTCCAATAAAAAATATATCCTTCAATTGCATCAAAGATAACTAAACCTGAGTACGGATATGGTACCAACTTGAAATTTACGATCTTTTTTCTTAAAATCCAATTACTATCTATATAGTGCGCCGTGAGACACATATATCCAAGAGATTGATTGGATGTCCAAACGTTAGTGGTAAGACTCACTCGACCATTCGATCTCTCTAAAACATAAAAATCACTTTTTCTTTTCTTCTTGATGTATAGCCATGCATTCATTTTTTATTGTTGCAAAGCTCCAAACGATTTGATGTTCCGCATAGGCTACACATCAAAGCACTCGCTACTATGGCTAGAAGCGATTGCTTTGATGTGTAGCATCAAAGCACTCGCTCCGCTAGGTAGCCAAGTCTTGTCAAAGCCAATAAACTACAGCTCGAAAGCAAGAAGCAAGGGCTAGTGCGGCATAGTTCGTCCTACCATATTAAACTTGGGTTGAAGGGCCTTAACAAATTCGCTAAAAGCAAGGTGCTCAACCAGACGAAATGGGTATTCTTGAATAATTATTATCTTTGCAAGCGCTTTACAACTAAATTCTTGGTCAAACTTAAATATTTCAGCGTCCTCTGCTAATGATGGTTGCAAATCCTGATATGGACGGTTAAGACAACCCCTAATATGATGAATAAAGTGGTTTGTCCCATCAATACTATTTGCCACCAAGACATGAGTACAATGCTTAGACCTGGCTTTACTAGAACCATAAAATCATTCCAAACTTTACATCTTAACTTCCTTCATATTGGACCTGTTGGAGCCACTTGGCTTTCTAGGGTGTTCTCATTCTCACTAAATTCAGACATCTTTGTTAACAATTAACCTGCAAAACGACATAGTGATGCTAACTCTTAAAAATCTTTATTAGGGGTTGGACAGCCTTCAGTCATGCATACAAGAAGAGAAAAAAGGAAAATACCATACAACAATCAACAGTACCTCACCCTAAATAAATGAACTGCAAACAATCAACAATCAACAATCAACTATCAACAATACTCAGAAATGAACCGCCAATAGAGCCTTATCTTTTAACCTTTAAGTAAAGAATGGCATTGTGAGAAAGGAAGTGCAGCTGAAAAGAACTTCAAATTCAGCCAAGTAATATGTCCATTTTCTTGTAGACAAAGACCCATGTTTCTACTGCTTAACAAAGTGTTCATTATATCAAAAGCTGCACTCTAGTAAAACAATCAACAATACTCAGAGAGATAGATATCGTTATAGACAGAAATGTGCGGAGAGAGAGAAAGAGCCCAAACTAAAAGAACCAGGACCCAACTCAAATTTCAATCCAATCCCACATATCAAAATCAGATTCCCACCAAACCAGATAACCAACCAACTGATTTTAATCCATCTATGTATATATCAATTTTCGAAAAATGTTGGACTGATAATTCCAGAAAGCTTGCTACATACATCGAAAAATCCCTAAATTGGAATGAAAGATATATTTATAACTTATAAGGAGATTTGGCCAGATAAAGCCTTTACAAATCCATCAAATGGCATAGAATACGCAATATCAAGCAGATATGAAGTTTCTTGGAGGGTTAGCTGAACAATCCATTCATTGCAAGTGTTTTGAAGAAGATTCTTAGCCAAGGCGTCCAATAGATTTGCAAAAGACGTTTCAGAATAGGCATAGCCTACATATAAGGCTTAAATTAAGCCATGCACTTTGAAATAAAGCAAATAAAACATTTTGCAGCAAGTAAATATCATTACCAAGTGATAAATCAATACAGAGAAGAAAAAAGCCCCAGTATTCTAAATAAAGTGAAGTAAACTCATTTTAAAGCTGGTGTCTCAATTACCCTAGCCAAAACTAGCCCCAGATTGTTACAGATACCTCATTTCCAGATAAACAACCTTGAGTTCCATTAATAAGCAGCAAAACAAGAAATAACGCTCTGGTTTTTCCCATTAGGCCAAATGAATGTGAGATTATCAAAGAAATTCAATAGAATACAAAGATTACAACGTTAACAAGCTCCAAGAAACCAGAAACAGTAACAGTTAAAAATACTGTAAACACAGTTCCATCGTCGCAGAGAAACAACTAAACGCACCAGATTGAACAAACACAAAGTTATCAGGCCTGAAGATCTGGCCGTAAGGACCAGTGCGCACACTGTCTGTCTATCCATGGCTCTGGGCTCAAGATCCATGAGAACAGCTCTGGAAACGAACCTTCCACGACTGACCTCATTGTAATAGACATTAACGCGTTCAACTTGAAGGTCCGAGGTTCCAGTGCATCGATCAGTGGGATCGAAAAGAGAGAGAGAGAGAGAGAGAGAGGCAGAGAGTTGCAGAGACGGCAGGTAGGGCGAGATGGATTATAAGATTTAATTTTTAAAGATACGTAATATCTAACACGAAGATCATGAATATGAAATAAATAAATAGAATTTAAAAATTAGAAATAATAATTCTAGTAAAAATCATTTGGCCCGATACTTTCCATTATTTTTTGATGGAACACCTACTTGCATTAATCTTTAAGATAGAGGCTCTACACTTTTTGGATTGTATATGTAGAAATGCGGTCTAGCCCACATGAAACAATTTTCAGATGTTTCATTTTAAAACAATAGAAACTAACAATCCAAATGTTTTCTTACTAAGAATTATTATTTTTAGTTTTTAAAATTTATTTATTTTTTATATTCATGATCTCCATGTTAGAGATTACATGTCCTTAAAAAGTAAAGTACTTTAAAACATCTACAAAAATAGACTTTTATTAAGAGGTCTGCATTTCTACAGGCTTGGTTGC